AGCAGCTGTTTGAGTGGGGGTGGTGATTTCTCTTGCACGTATACTCTACATAAAATAGCACGAAGCCACATGTTACAGAATTCACCAAGCCGGGCTTACAATTACAGTGTGCTGACATGAGGCCTGTCATATTCTCTCATCGTGACCCATGCACGGATAGAGAGATGGCATAATCAGAGACTGGTAGTGCATAACACGTGCTCGGATAACGTAGATGGGACTCTTCTGTTCACATGGTAGGTGTAGACTGATATACCCAACCGCAGAACAGTCGATCGTGGGCATCCAGGCTTTTGTGGTTCTGAAAGTCCTTGAGAGTATAAAATGATCTCGGCTAGAATGTTAGGTAGTCAATTCACGAGATCCAAATAAGTACGTGATGGGCACAAGTTGTGGTCCTCGCTCCATTCTCGTACGGGTGTCGATTCCCAATGCACGCAATTTTCTCGAGATAGCGTGCTTTTGCTACGTTGTCTAGTGAATCCACGTATTTATCCATACTACGTACACTACAGACAGTCGGCATATGTGCATACACTAACTATTATAAAAATCTGCGTTTGATAGCTAGAGTAGATGCAGTAACATCGGTGAAATTTCTGAACTCTCACGATTTAAACAAACTCAAGTCTATGAACATTATTATATGTGTTACGTGCAATCTTCCGATCTGCTCAAACTACGAATCTGCCGACTGTGTGGCAGCCTCATTGAACTGCAGCACCTAAAACCCACGCTGAGAAACCTGTCTGGTAAATCGGGATCCTCTTACTTCTAATATCTATTGCAATAATAACACTATAGCCAATGTAAAATCGGTTGATTGTGCAGAGTGGCACATTACACGCGACGCGTGTTCTCTATATTTGTAACCGGTATGGCCGGCGGCACGGGATTGTAGGTAATATTGCAATTTTTAGACCAAATCGCGGGACCCTCTATACGCGTATAGCTATAGCCGCTCGTTCAGACGTCCGCTATACGCGTATAGCTATACGAATTACGTAGGAAACGCACTCATTTTGTCAGGATAGTGATACGCGTTTTGAACTGAGTATAGCTATACGTGGTCGTTCAGAAGAGGGAAATTTATCGCGAGTACGTACGAAACTCTGTTTCGTACGCGTACGAACCGTGGATTTTGCTACGACTGAACGCGCTATTAGTAACTTGGCACATACAAATTATACACATACATACTACATCCTAAGTTGGAACACGCCTGGCTGTCTCTCGTGATCTGCCCTCTCTCGGTCTCTCCTCACCGTCACTCAGTTACTCGATATCCGTCTGCATTTCTATCTCTATTACGTCCCATATATATACTATTTCAAAAGCAGGTCGGACGCTTCTTCGATCGGTTGTCACCAGCTACTCATTCTAGCAATAACGCATAAACGGGCAATTGTCTTTCAACTCCGGGTGCGCGGTGGGGCTACAATAATAGCGTCAGTAAAAACGCCAACAATACAATCAATAATGGCGTCAGTAACTACACAATCAATGATGGCGTCAATAACAACGTCAACAACACAATCAATAACATCGTCAGTAGCAATCGTCAATAGAGAACATCAAGTATACAACAGTCAATCAATAATCTCCATTTCACTATCAATGAACACAATGAATGGACATGTGTGAAGAAGAGGCCTGGACAGCCTCTACGGGGCACAGCTCAGCTGAGTTACCCCACGTGGATTTAGCTTGCTGTTTTGGTGTTGCCAATATATATGTATATGAAAAAAGTTTTGTTTAAGAAATTGCTGCACAAAGTTAGCAATGAACGACTAGTTTCGACTTGTGGTAGCCTTCGTCAGGTTCTTCTAACGTTTTACAGCTGAAAAAAAACTGTGCTTTTCCGCGTTTTTCTCCCCCGTTTAATGAACGCAATCAATGATAGCGTCAATATCAACGCTAACCGTTAACGACGACTTCACCGAAGAACAACTTCAGACGATGACAACGACTTCCAAACATCTGAAAATACGGCATAACCGACTCGCGGGAGAACGTGACGAAACACATCCGTCGCCACGCGTCCCACACGGTGTGTGTGTGTGTGTGTGTGTCGTGGGTGGGAGTCGTTGTGTTGTCGCGGGTGGTAAGCCATCTATACACACACACATACACAGGCGCATGCACGAAATGGCACTGTTTTTACGCGTATATCGTTTTCCTGTTTGCATGTTTGCTCCGTTCTCTAGCCTATGTATAAATGCTATACTATTGGTAAATACTTTTGTTCAATATACAATAAACAGCACATTTACATATTTCACCAATCAACTGGCTAGCTAAGACTGGTATGTATACCGCTCGAATGGCAGAGTCAATAAGCCATCCACGCTGACCGTGCGCTTACTAACAACAGTATGCCATGCACACCAATGTAATACATTTGGCTTCCGCAAACGAAAAAACGCATATAATAAAAGTTAAAGGGGTAGAGAGAGAAGAGTAACAGGAAGAGAGAGAGAGAAGAGCGAGAGAGATAGAGAGAAGAGAGAAGAGAGAGAGAAGAGAGAGAGATAAGAGAGAGAGAAAAGAGAGAGAGAGAGAGAGAGAGCGGCGGGAGAGAAAGAGAAAAACAAGAGAAAGCCCGAGAGAAAGAGAACGAAAAGAGAAAGAAGATACACCGACAGAGCAAATAAACGGAAAAAAGCGAAAAAAGAAATAAATAGAAAGAGCAAAAAGAAGAACAGCGATAGAGAAAGAGCAAAGACCCACGCCCCACCCACACCACGGAGAAAGAGCAAAGAGAGAGGGAGAGAGACAGAAAAGCAACGAGAGAGATTATTATACCAATAGACGATCTACGCACTACTTACTTTCGGTCTATACATCAAGAATGCAGCTAACTTTGATGAGCAGTTATGTAGCAATGCCCTGTATCTGTCGGGAACTCTGACTGTATCCTTAACCTAATATGATATATTAGGTTATATGATATGTTATGCGGCGTTCACACAGTGCCGATTATGGCTCACGTTTGAGATCAGACAG